TGGCGTCGATGGCGAGTTACATCACTGGAATGGCACCCATGTAAAAAAAAAGCAGACAAACGGTGCCCACGATTCCGGTAGACTGGTTTATCTGAAATAAAAAAATCAAATTGCATTTTAATCTATAGGTGAATGGTTATCGTGGGAACTAGAATTTTCAAAAAATATTGAACCGTTTTCTGTCCGCATAAAAAAATAGTCGCAAAAAATCATGCTATTTTGAGTTATAATTTTTAAAAGCATGCGAAAAATTGAATTTTTAATATTTTCAAAAAATCCTAGTTCCCACGATAGCCATTCACCTATAGATTAAAATGCAATTTGATTTTTTGATTTCAGATAAACCAGTCTGCCGGAATCGTGGGCACCGTTTGTCTGCTTTTTTTTACATGGGTGCCATTCCAGTGATGTAACTCGCCATCGACGCCATATTTTTAAATTTAAAAAAATTTACATATAGTTTAAGATGTAATAAATATATAGTAAAAATTTGGAAGCTCTGTATTTTTTCATTTCGCCGCAAAAAAAATGCAAAAAAACCTTAAAAAAAACGGTCGTCACACGGGATGACCCCTTTGAGGTTTAATATAACTGTTATGTATACAAATGTCAGACAAAATTATTAAATCACATTTTTGTACATTTCTCTAGATTACATTTCATCAATACATACCTCACAAAATTGGAATATTGTTTTTCGATTTTCTTTATCTCCAGGATTGAAATCACAATTTCGAACACAGCACACTCGCTTGGGCATCGTAAATCGGATTAAATTTTTACACGGTTTACGTTTAGTTCAAAATTCAATCAAACAGAAACAAAATACGTTCAACGTGGACATGCGCAGTCACGAATTGAAACCGACTATGTAGAGCAACAGGGAGGATGAAGCGCAAGAGTGGGGGGTGTCGTTCGTTTCCACTTCTTGCCTCACCCCCACTACCGCTTTTACGCCGAGTTGACTCTCCTGGTTCTAATCTTCTTGGTAAGCTTGAACATCAAGATTCTTTAAAAAGCAACAATGTAATATTTATTCCAAATGCCCATTCGACTTATATTTTTTATCTATACTGTTTACAATCGTATGCATGAACTGCATAGGATCCGTTCCGTTTCTCTATGCTCTGCATGCGCATGGGAAAAAAGAACCGAATTAATGCGCGCATAGGATGCGCTGTGTTCCATGCGGTCCATGCGTGAAACGGAACGCACCCTAAAGACTATCGCACATGAAATGCATAACAGAGCATAAGCATAACATAAGACTGCTGGACCAATGAGCATCTAGCATAATGTCGCCATATTGATTTACATAAGATGCTCATTGGTTTAGCGGCCTTATGTTATGTTTATGCTCTGTTATGCGTTTCATGTGTGAGGCCTATTAGCGGCCTTATGTTATGCTTATGCTCTGTTATGCATTTCATGTGCGATAGCCTTAAGGCTGCTTAGCTTTACGCATGCGCACACAGTTTCTTAGAGCAGACGAATTCTTGCTAGCTCCCATCACTGGGTTAGGTTAAAATAATAGCGATTTCGGCTGGAAACACCAACGTGCACTGGTGCTTTAGAATCATAGACATATAAGATAGACCCAGCATCTATAGTACATGTTGGGGTTTGGCAGAACGGTGCGAGAGGCAAGATATTGGGGCAACCTGTCCTCTGCGCGTGCATCTTGACATTCTTGACAAAATCAAAATGGCTGACTACGTTAGGATCGTCTGGATTCTTTGCCCATTGTGTTACTTTGCGTCACCCAGTATTCTGATGGGCAAGGAAAAAATATTCTGTTACGCTTAAATGAAGCATATGTTGTACGTATTGTATGCATATACATAAGTAAAGGTTAAAATGTTTTATTTACGTCTGAAAGAATATTTTTTCCTGTTTCAAATTTCTTTTGATACCCACATGCGTTGCACGTCTCCATATTCAATTTTTTTTTAAAAATAAACAATACTAACAGTTATTAATAATAGGTGCAAAGAATACAGACAATTCTAACGTAGGCAGCCATTTTGATTTTGTTAAGATTGTCAAGATGCGCGCGCAGAGAAGGACGGGTTGCCCCGATATTTGGCCTCTCGCACCGTTCTGCCAAACCCAGCATATACTATAGAAAAGTATACGGATGCTGGGTCTATCTTATGGCCCGTATTCAGAACGCGCTTTTATCGATAAAAGCGCACTTTTATCTCTGAAATTCTATAATATGCGTGACGTAAAGTATAGTATGTTAGCGTGCTAACATCGTTGTAAGCGCGTTCTGAATACGGGCCTATATGTCTATGTTTAGAACATATATAAATGGAACGGGCATTGCCTATACTTCCCGTGGCTTGCGCTGATGCAAACGTCTGTGCGAGAGAGAAAGGTAGTAAGGGATAAGGGTGTATCCACACAAACTTGCATAG